ATTTATTTTTAGACATGTCAATAGAAAGAGCATCAGAAATTGCGTAAGAAAACGTCTGATATAAAATTTTGCGAATAAAAGTAAACATTTCTTTTTGGCTGTTTGTTACGAATCTCATTCAAAGTATCTTCATTTTTGCAGGTTTATATTTTATTCATTAGAACCGCCTTTAAGCTAGCTTAAATGTACGAAAAAATCGGAATTCTATCTGTAATTCTCCATTTTCTCAACTAGAACTCACTTTGTATACAGTAAAAATATCAGATTCGGGTTCAACACTGAAAACTGAGTCAAATGATATATGTTTCGAAAGTATTCGTTGATTTTTCTTTTTTAGTCAAAATCTCAGTAACTTTGAGAGGACAACAAAAGTAATCGGCTAGGATAAAAGAGTATATCGTTCAACTTAGTTTTTAGTGCTGACGCCCCTCACCCTCACCGACGCCGGTCTACTAAAAGCTTTTTTCAAAAATATTTTTTACCCATAAAGAAAAAGCTATTCTCTCCGCTTTCCGCTGGTATAGTTTTCAAAGCTTTAAGCTTCTTTGACGGGTCAAAAAATCAATTACATTGTCGTACGGAAAATTTTTGCAGCTCTTTGGTATCGAAGAGGAGGTACCCGAGCATTAATGCTGAGCTACAGACAAGAATAACCAACATTTTAAATGTTTTTTTCCGACAAACATACTCGAAGGAATGGGCAACATTTTTTTGGTGAAAACCGTTTCCTGAAAGACTACTCCTCTGCTGAGTTATGGTTAAAACCAAAAAAACACCTTGGGCCGTAAGCAAAATTTTTACAGCGGTAGTAGGTGTCAACAGACGTTTGAGTGCTACTGTAGTGTTATGTTTTCTTTTTATGAAAACTTCATGTTGTGTCTTATATATAGATAGTATTCGACAATGCCACGCAATGTTTTAAACGAAAATTATGAGAATAAATTAGTTCGTATACAAAAGCAGCTGACACGAGAACGAATTCTCGATGTAGAGCGATGTATGTTTCGAGCGGTTTACTCTCATTTCGTCCCAAATTGCTCACTCTCACACCTGCTCGCCCCTTTGATGTTGAACTAAAGTCTGACTTAAAAAAGTCTGAACATATATTCGAAAAGAGCACAAAATTCTGATTATAACTGACTGCTTTTGACTCTCAAAAGGTGATAATAAGTGTTCGGAAAATGAAGAAACATCTTGTGCCAAGACTTTCGCGCCATAGGTTATTATTATTATTATTATTATTTTCTCAAATATGCAATAGAATTATGGAAATGGGGTATGATGATAAAAATGAAACGGATGAAACAAATTGTGAAGAATTCTTATGTCGTACAAAATAAAATATACTGAACGTAACGGCAACTGGAATTGTAAAGATGAAAGTGATGAATTAAATTGTTTTAAAAGCTAAGCTAGTGTAAAAATAATGAACATTATTGTATATTTCCAAATGAGTATAAATCTAGTGTCAAATGTTTAGCCATTTTATTTGTGAACGATAATATAATTCATTATTTAGGATCAACAGATAAACGTGACTACCGTCGAATGACCTATCCAAATAGTTATCATTTGCGGTATCATTGTATGAACAGTATATTGCGTATAAGTCCTATACAACTCTGTAATTGTGTACAAGATTGTCCAGAAGGTGATGGTGATTTGTTGTTTGGCCATGGTTAGAAGATCATATTTGTAAACCAAATGCTTTTTTATGAAACGATGAGCAAATATATAAAGAGTGTGTCATAATAACTGATGATAAATTGAACGACACTGTTGGCAATTTGTCATTAGTTATTATGGGATACCCTTTATACTGAAAGATAGAGAAATGAATTCTCTACAAAACCTACTATTTGAATCTCTGAGAGCATTTTTCTTGTTTGAGCACCATTCAAAATATAGAAGGATGCTGAGTCGTTGAACTACTCTGTGCTTTTGTCCTCTCGCTTGTTTTAGATTTTTAGCTTATTGTATGAGGTTTAAGGGTTAATTTTTCTAAATAGAAAGATAGAGAATGTTTCGCTCTATCGATCTCACTCATTTATAACTTCATGCAATATTTCTACTACGCAGTTGATCTCATAATTAGTTTTCAACCGACTTTTCAATTTTTTTACTGAATGGTTTCAATTGAGAAAGTTTGTTTATAAATCAAAAGAATTCTTCTATTTCTATTTTCAGTGTGTCGCAGTTCGATAACTCAGCACCCTTCAGTATTTAGAATGGTGCTCAAACAAGAAAAATGCTCTCAGAGATTCAAATAGTAGGTTTTGTAGAGAATTCATTTCTCTATCTTTCGGTATGAAGGGTATCCTATAATAACACGTTAGAATTAGATTTTTACAAATATTTTCGAGAATCCAATACGAAACAAAATATTCGGAATAGCTCGAGTCGATCAATTCTTAGAATTCTAGAACTTTGAATTTTATATTAAAGAACTTTATTTGGTTAGATCTTTTGGTGCTGTACAGTGAGTGGGTGTAGCGAGAGAAGTGAATTGAAAGTTTGCGGTAGTAGCCTTTCCGAAAATCAGGAACAGTTCGTTGCATAAACGAAGAATGAAAACGTTATGAATTACAGGAACTTCTGGAAGTATCAGCTGAAAGACAATCTTGATTGTCGTTCGCACGCATAAATTCAAAAGCTGAGATAAAATTAAAAAGCCTTATTGCTTAGATGCTGCTAGCACAGGTTGCGTGGGAGGGAGGTGTGCGTTTGCTGAGGGTGAATGCGGTAGGAAAGTTCGTATTTTCCTAATTCACACATTCCTATAGTTGCTATTGCTCTTAATGTTTGCTACATAAACGACGAATAGGAATCATAGGAACAAGTTGTTTTTATATTGGAATAGCGGGGCTTATACTGTGTAATGAAGAATTTAAGAAGAACGGGTGGCGGTCCTAATACGTGGCGTGGACTTTTAACTTTCCATCCGTTCGCTTTTTGATTGACTAATTGAATATTTATGGTGTTTAGCGGTATTTCATTGAACAGAGTAATTGAAATGAAGTATTTTTCTTGCTTTTCATCGATAATAGCTATATCATTTACCATGTCATTTTCCTCTGATATAGCTCAAGCTGCATCTGTGTAAAATCACTATTTTTATTTCTCTTCCTTGAATGAATAAAGTTTAAACTAAACTAAACTAAATGAAGTAAACGAAAAAAATAAATTTTAGTAATCCAGCGTTTTTCTCGTACATTTTGCTGTCGAGATCTGGAGAAAAATTCCTTAACTTCAACAATATATCCACTATACTTCCTCAATGAGTTGAAAAACTTCAAGATTTTCCCTAGGGCTTCGGGAGAATATCTTGTTGATGTGCGACATCCACGACCTTCCATTACATGACTTAATGTACAAGGATTCTCTTTCGAATTATTTTACCGCAGCGTTTACGACGTTTATCGACGCTTTTGCTTGGTAATCTGTTGCCGCATCCAAAAGTATTATCACAGTTGGTTGGTTCTCTTTTCCTTAGACTCCCATCTTTGAAAGGGATTTGTTTCAACAGTGGAGAAATTCTATAACGGCGATCGAGCAACTTACGAGGAAACAGCTAAAAATATGATAGCTCGTATGCGAAAGATGAATAGTCGCCTTCGTCATTTGACTGTCGATTCTGGATATGGAGCAACGGAATTTTCTTTTTGAAATTGATAAACAATTATCTCCTTCATCTTGTGTATGTATATATGATAGAGAGAATGAATAGATTTAATAAAAGTAAAGACATTCTTCCAAACAAAATGAATCGAATGTTGTAAGGTATAGCTCATTTAGACATATTATTGTAACGCCTCCGCTAAAATGCATCGTATGCATGATATTCGACCTTTTCTCACCATTTTTTCTTATTCTATGCGTAGTCTCCATCTTTGCGTCCTTATTTGTCCTTGCTATCCCTTCTTTCATAGTCTTTTTCTTGTTGTACTTTGCCCTCTTTGTCCTTATTTTTGTTGCACTTTGACTCATCTGCCCTTATTATAATCTTTTCCTAATCCGCTCTTCCCTCTGACGAACGAATATATAAGCGTATGTGTTGTATGGAAATAAGTGATACATGTTGTTCTACATTGTATCATTAAATGTTAATTTCTTGTAAACACAGAGATGTACATGATTGAATATTTAATAGGTTATCCATCACTATAAACTATATCTCTAATAAAAATTTGATCCAACATAGTTGAGTTGTTTAAAAACTTAATCAGAGTAAATTTTCAAATTGTTGTCGGTTACAACAAGATCAAAAGTTGACCAGAAGAATATTTTCAGGCAATTGTTTTTCGGAAATAAATCTTCTTTTCTCTTCGACTTGTGAGCAAATGGAGAATATTGAAAAATAATACTGCTCTACAGAAAAATCAAGATTTTTTTATAGGATATCTCTTGCTCAACTTGTCAATGCCAATAGATTGCTTTAACAAAATTGAAAAGTAAAAAGATGAAAATCCAAAGTCTACTTGACGACGAGCGAGAAGTACGTATGTATGTCAATAACCTACTTTTTCAAGTTTTACCTATCTTTCCTTTTCTTTCTGTTATTAGAGCCTTAGCGTATAGCATATCTTTTTTATTCGCATATAGGAATACAAATGTGACATTAGGTAGCCTATGTGGAAGGAAAGAAAAGGACTTTTTTCGTTCTATCATAACAAATGCGTCTGAATGTCGACATATGCACCGCATTAAAATGTGCTATACGCTAAGACTCTATTATAATCTTCTAGCGCAAACCGAGCGATCATATTTTTCGTTCTTTCATTCGACTACATTTTCATTTATTAAAATAAATACGACATATGTATATTCTCATCAGGGTTTATATTCGTATTTTTGTTTCTCAGTTTACGACGTAATATACATTCATTTATGTTATCGTGTTGTCATATAAAAAATATTCTTCTTTCGGTTTAGAAAATAATAAGTACGTTTCTTTTAGAAATATGATAACCAAGTTAATAATACTATGCTTAGTATCATTGATGTTAAGCGATGATGGAGTGCGATGTGCTCAACCCTATTTTCCTCCGCAAATAACATTTTCTACGTATGACAATAAAGCTATTACTGCAGTCGATGAATTAAATCAACAAGCTTACAGATCATACATTATAACTTCAACACTAACTGAATATTCATTCGCAATGCAGCATTTTCCATTTGCAATTCCCGATTCACCAGAATCAAAATATTATGTTCAATTGAAATTAGACTACCCATCAAATAGTTGTAACTATGGAACTTATTGGAAGTATGGTGATTATCTATCCAGTGCATTTCCTTCACATTGGAATTTCAATCATAGTTCATTTACAATTGATAATTTTGTCAACTTCCGATATGAAATGATTCATTCTAACAACAATACAGGAGATGAAGATTATTGGTATTCAAATGAAACATGTCAAATTGATACTGGTGAAAACTTTCCTTGTCAAGAGATTTATTTTAAGAAAAACACAGATATACCTCTTAAAACAGCTGAAGTTGTTCGTCGACGATGGGAAGTGTTGCACGAAACGATATATTACAAAGTCATATCTATTGGCAAACCCGATGACAGACTATTCAAGAGAATTCCACAAAATTGGGCTTATAATTGTACAGATCTTTCGCTTGGACTTCTTTATAATCCTCAACTATTGGTGA